GAGCAAGTGAGAAGTATTTCGTTTATGGAAACGTAGAAACGAGTTGTATTTAACTAGAGCCAATGCAATAATACAGAAGAATATAGCTACAAATAAAAGAAATTAGGATAAGAATATTAGATTACAAAACGTGTTTCAAGTCAATGAAATAGAGTTCGAATGCATAACGATCCTATAGGAAGTAAGTTGGATTTCGAATGGTTCGGATCTTATATTACCGATGAAATAAAAAGTCCTTATTACATCTGTAAAAACTCCAAGGGAAGATTTATTAAAATACATGGTAATATTTAAAACTTGAATTCAGGTGAATAAGCTCCTATTATTGGTAACAGTAATACTAGTGATAGGCGAAAAAATTGAACTTACAAACCTAGAATATAAGAATATATTTATAGAAGATATACAAAAAGTTTTACTCTAACATAACCAAGTAAATTTAATAGTAGGAGTAGACACCAGCGTTATGCAACAAGCAAAAAAAAAATTAATTGACAAATTAAATGATCTAAATCGACTATGTGAACAGAGCATTTGTAGAGAATCTCTGGCAATAAACGTGTTAAAATGGATACATTGAAGAATAAATATATGCATTATAAGAACTTGATGCATCTAAGAAAAGAGAGAGGACTATTTAAACTTGTAAGAAGCACCTCTAAAACAATATTTAGCACATTAGAAGAGAGCGACCTAGAATTAATCAATCAAAACATAGACAAACTTTTCGGCACAAGCAACAAAGTTATACATGTAGTAAGGATCAAACACTAATGATCAAAATCCTCTTGAAACTCTCGATTGTAGAAAAACGAGTATCTGGAAAAATTGTAGAAGCAGAGGATTTTGCATTCAATAAAATAAATTTAGAGTCTCTCATGTACGAAATTATTGAACAAAACACCACAATAACTACGATACTTAGGATAACAAGGAATAATTCACCCGGATATCCTAACTAATGAGCGATTTTTATTGGCATATACAATATTAATTAAGGAAAGTAAAACGTACAATGCCATATGAACTAATGGAGGAAAACGTTCAACTAATTTATGACATTAACGATATAAAAATTAACCTTAGAGGAAATAAGATAGTTTATATAATATATATACCGATAATAGAAACTACAGAGAAACATAATAGAAACATAATAGAAACTACAGAGAAACATAATAGAAAC